AAATTGTGTAGTGTAAAAAAGAATTTGTAGAACTCGGAGTCTAGTAATAATTTAGGAGTATGTTTACATAAGTACTCTATAGTCGACTGCCAGGATCACAGACAGAGCAGAGACATGCAATTCATGAGCCTAGAGCAAAGTTTCAAGATTTTGCCTGAAGTATAATTGCTGACGAGACGAAACTGAGCTGTTGGTGAAAAGGGGGGTGTAGAAGGGGAAGGGGGGGGGGGTGGATAAGTATACTCACCTCAGTAACGTACTTGTCACATAAAGTCACGACAGAATCGTTTCTTAATTTTTTTTTTCTTGTTATTTATAACTCCTTCAGACCAAGTTGTTAGTCTCCTTTGTTTTTGTCCTTCAAATTTCTGTTTTTTTATTTTTTTAAGTCTTTGTCCAGACTATACTTGTTTGTTAACTCTTTTTATTATCATTCTGAAAAAGGAAAATGAATTTTTTTTTTTATAAAATCAAAGAAATAAGTTTAGTCAATCAACACGCGCGCGACATCATTGTAAATTCAGTGAAGATACTACTTCGTTGACGAAATATACAAGTTCCTTCTAAAGTTTCCCGCGACACAAGAGAGACAATATAATATGAGCGGATTTGTTAAATAGAGAGGAATATTACTGAGTTGAAGTTATAATATATATATATACATAACTATTATATACTATAGAGAATTTGACTTTGTGTGTGACTAAGTGTCGAAAGATTCAAAATTTCTCACAACTTCTGAAACAAAATACCACCTTGAGCCTTGACAAATACAGGAGAATTAATTTTCCTGATTGTATTGGCTTTACTTCTAAAATTCTATTTACCTCGAGTCAATTCAACCAGAACAAAAGAGACTTTCCTGAAAATGATTCTTTTAGGAAAAAAAAAACAATAATTTTACACATTTTAATAAAATTCAATTAAAATTATTTATTATAAATAAAAAATAAAGAAATTTATGAAAAATAAAAATTTAGGTAGAGGTTAAAGAAAAGAAATTTTATTTTGTTGAGTCTTCGTCATTTTTATTTCTATTCACAGTCAATAAATTAACAATATTAACGTTTGAAACCATGTAAAAACTGACGAGATGAGAATAATTACAGTCGTAGTTTATCTCTCATCATTTTTTAAAGATAATTAATATACATACAAAATCAGCTTAGAAAAACTTTGGGTGGCCCTCGTGAACGATTGTAACCACTTTTATTTATTTATTTATTTACAATTTTTTTTCAGACTAGACCTTTATTTAATTAAAATCTCATGCTCCAGGCGATTAAAGACTAAAAATCTCGATGGCTAATTCGCAGTCGCTGGTCGAAAAAAGAAAACCGTTTCTAAATTTCGTAACGGTTAATTATATTATTATTCATTTTTTTTTTCAAATAATAATTTATTATTGATTTTTCGCTTTATTTGAATTAGAACAGACTTGTAGCCTCTTTAGGAATAATTTTTATATTTCATTTCATGTTTTATTTTATTTTTTATTTCTCATTTATTTATTATTTTACTCTTTATTTTTCATTATTTCATTTATTTTTTTTTTTTTTTACTTATAAATTTTTCATATTTTTTGTGACTATAATTTTGCAAAATTCAATTTACTACGGGGCCTATAGGTAAAATGATTTACATCGAGTGATGATACCCTTCGAGCTAATAAAATCACTGTCGTGTCTATTTATACAATCTCATAAACTCATTATTAATTAACATATATTTTTTTCTCTCCTTGCTCTCTATCTAATCTAATTTTCATTTTCACTCACTCTGTTTCTCTCTCTCTTTCCTTTTTATTTTTATATATGCACCTTAAAACTCGATGGAACGGATAATCTACTGCAACATTATCGAAACCAGTATATATTTATATCTCTCTTGGAGATTTTTTTAAGTTATCTGGAATCGAGAACTTATTATATATATATATATATATATATATATATATATATATATAAAAAAAAGTCAGAGAATATAAATTATAAAACAAATGATATTGCTGTTGAGACTTGATCCTTTACGATCCATAAATGTTTCATAGCGTACAAGAAAAAATTGATTAATTAATGAAAATTTTTTTTATAAGCTTTCAATTTCTTCATTAAATGAAATTCATTTATATTTTTTATTGTATTAATAAAACTATTTTAGTTATTTTGTTTTCATTCAAAAAATTTTTTTCTCGAGAACTTAATTTTTGTTACAGAAGACGTATTTTTTTAGATTTTGGGTAATTTATTTTATATTTTTTTTTTTATTTACAATAATAAACGGGCTGGCAAAAATTAAACTGTTTTTTCGTATCCAAAATTGCACTACGTTACAGAAAAGAAAAAATTGAAATAACAATTTATTTCTGTATTTTTATAATAATAATTATTAATTAAAAAAACGAATTTACTTTCGTTAATTATTGAATTTTTTTTTTATTCATTGAATGAAAATATGAAATTACATTTTTTTTCCAGTACTTATCCATATTTTGTTTCAAATAAATGTTTGATTGAAAAAAAAAATTAATCATACTTTTTTCTTGTACGCTTGAAAAAGCAGAACTTATATATATATATATATATATATATATATATATATATATAATATTCAGAGGTGATAAAACATATATTTTGACATCATATATAAAATTCTTGATTTCATATACAATATTGGAAGAGAGTTTGTTCGTAGAGTAAAATTTTTAGAACGTTCTCAAATTACATTATTATTATAAAAACAAGGGAAGCTATCGATTGAGGTTTTTTTTTTTTTTTTGAGATAGTCGCGAATTTTATATGCTATAATATGTATATATACACACAAATTTTTTTTTTTCTTGTTAATATTAACATTTGCAAGCAGGCTTTTTTTTTTCATATACGCGTTGATGCAATCATCATCGTGTTATAATTATTTATGTACAGTAAAAGTTTCTAAATTCTATAAATATTTATATAACAACTAATAATATTAATATATTCGCCGTTTTCTTTATTCTTGTTTTTTTTTTTTAATTCTATACAAAGATGTACATAAGATTCAACGTTATTGTATATATAATCATTTTAATATAGAATCTAGTCTTAAGTTTTGGCAAAGACAGGTTCGATATATAAAACATCATTAGGTTTCTATAAATGGTTTATTTTATGTACATTATAATATTCTCTGTAAAGTTTTAACGTTCCCCGTGAGGCCAATGTACAGATTTACAGGTTCACAATCGTGTCGAAAACTATATTTATAATAAATATCTAACAATATAGTTTTAACCGCGATGGCGAAGATTGTCTATCGTTAGAAATAGGTGCTTGCTTCAATAGTGGTCACTTAAAAAATATTTCTCGATGATATTTTATTTCAAATTAATCAAAAATCATTCGCTATAATTTTTTTTTTATATAAAAATTAAAAAACTTAATGACTTGTTTTTAAATTAATTTTTTTAAAAAGAATGTAGACTCTTAGAGAAATTTTTTTTAATAGTAAAAATTCTGATATTAATTAGAAATTATTTTGATTTTCAGTGAAGAATTTTTTTTTTACTTTTAGTATAAATTCTTACTCTTTCCTTTCTACTAATTCGCAGAATGAAATGAAATAATGATTTTGCAATTAATGTATTGTAAATTAATTTTACTCCAAAATATTCAGTATAAATAATTTTCATATTAAATTAAAAGTCAATCGTTTTCTTCTTTTGTAAATATTTTATCATATTAATATTAATAAATGAAAATTGTTTATAAATTAGTAAAGAAAGAAATTTAAATTGGAATATAATTAAGTAACTACTAATTGAATATTTTCGTTTTTTAAATTTATTATAATTAGTCGTTTAACTATTGATAGTTTATGTTTCATTTTCAAGTTATTTCGATGTGTCTGTATATTTATTGTTCTTGATTATAGAGTGTCATTAATTAAAAATTGTTGAACTCTATACATTCGTTCTAAAATTGAGATTTTTTCTTTCATTATTATTGCCTATATAATTCAATTATATATTCAGTTTCGATAAAATTGCCAAGTCGAATGTCGATATTTAGGATTGTAATTTCTTTTTTTTTTTTTAATTGTGTCTACCTATTTAGAGTGATCCAAAGAAAAAAAAATTTTTTTATAAAATTTTTGATTTTTAGAAAACAAAAAAATTTATTTTTAATTAATGTTAAATTTGACGTTTGTTAATGTTATGGATGTTTTTAATTAACCTGGGAAAATTTGGTTAAAAACTGAAATTGGTTTAAAATTAATTTTTTTAATTAATTTTTTTATTTGCAAATTGTTATAAATTATTTTCTTTCGTTGGGTCACTGTCGTACCTATAGCGCTTGCCTATTGTTATGATATCACATTATTAAAACTTACTAAGAGGCTGGCATGCCAGTTGCCAGAATTAATGAATTCTAAATTGTTTTAAAGATTCAAAGATTTCAGAGCACTTTGCTTTTATGTCCATTCTTTTGAAACACCGCAAATTTTTTCTATAATTTTTTTCGATTATTGCAATTTCTTAATAATAATAATAATATTAATAATAATAATAATAATAATAATATTAATAATAATAATAATAATAATAAACTCTTAACAAAGACATAAAAAATTAAATTATTAAAATTTTGTCCATATGAAACAATTTACGTTATTTACAACAAAAAAATTTAATAAATAAAATATAATTTTTTCTAAATTTTATTAATGTTTATTTTCTATTGACTTGAGATTTTTTTTTTTATCAATATTGAAAATATTTATTTAGATTAAATGTTAGTTTTTTTTTTTTTTTTTTTTTTTTTTGTTATTTAAATGTCTGATATTGTGCATAGTTCAGCATAAATACTTAAAATCTACTTTAAAAAATAAATGTTTACATTGTTTTATGTAAACTTTTTATTTTATTAAAGACACTTTCAGTGTGATAATTTCTTGGACTATTATTCTAAAAGAGAATATATATTGTTTTATAAAACAATAAGTTTTGTACAGTTGTAAAAAATGTAAAAAAAACACCCCTTAGAAAAAATTAGTTTTTCTCTATTGTCTATTATGTTGAAAAAAACTATATCAAGTTTCTTATATCTAAATATTAGAGATATTGTTAAATTAATTGAAAAATTGAATAATTTTATGATATGCATATTTGGAATTAATTTTTCTTACAAATTTTCGATATTGTAAAAAAATAATTAAAAAAAAGTTAAGTTTCGTTTAAAATAAATTTTTTTAAAAATTAAAATTATTTTTGTCAATTATTATTATTGACGTTGAAAAATGCGGTGTTTTATTTTTTAGGACAATAATTATTATACTATTAATAGAATATGTGAAATAATTATATTTTACCTACTGGAAACTGGCATCATTGCTCTGACTTTTGGCAGCAATGGCATGTGATGTTGGTGAATTACGTGAGAAATTGCCAAAATTTTTTGTTGGCGAATCAGATGCCGCAGTGACAACAAGATTTTTGTCTCTGGGTGGCGGTGCAGAACTAAGACTCGACGAACTAACACCTGAGTCACTTGATTTTTCACTTAGGCATCCTCTTTGACTTAAATTAACTGTCGCATTAACAGTCTCACAACCCAGACCAATATCATTATTGGCACCAACGACATATTTCACCATTCCAAGTTTATGTGCATTTTCACAAGCGTCTTCAATAACAACAGTCTCACCGAAATTCCCTCTTTTTGCAATAAATCGAACATTACCACCACCGCGTAATAAAGGCGATTTTTCAAATGACGGTTGCTCCTTTTGAATGGCGCTCGTTATTGGAATATTTGGATGAAAATCATCTTTTGGTTCAGATAATGGAATTCCATCGTTTGATGTGCACTTACCCTGAATTGTAACATCAAGATTGTTCTCTCTGATGACTTTAGATGTTTCGGGACTTACGTTACGTCTCGTGGGATTCTTGTGGGCGTCATAGCATCCGGAATCACGGGGGAATTGACGTCGATTGAAGGGCGAACAGTGACCGGATGTCTGACTGGAGGTTGGTGCAAGGCGGCCAACCTCATCGCCCTCAGAACTTGAGGCTAAGTCCCCTTCGCTTCCGGCTGTTGGGAAAAGCGGAAATAAAATTTACAGTTCAGTTATTTTAGTTGTATTATGCAAAAAAAAAGGGAGAGGGGGGGAGGAAGGAAATATTTTCGAACTAGTAGTAGTAAAAGAATTTATCAGTAAGACTTAGCGTTTAAAATTTAGGCATTAGTAGTAGAAAATTGTTTCAGTCAGACAGAAGGATGCAAAAAATTTTGTGATTTCATAATTAGTAGATAAAAACAGTTTTGGTTAGACTATATTTTGTAAATTTGGACAATACTAAAAAATATTTCAACAAGACTTAGGGTTTAAAAGTAAACATAAGTAAATAAGTATTAAAAAATAGTTTTAGTCAGGCAGATGGATTAAAAAATCTTGTAATTTCGTTATCAGTAGTAAAAAAATAGTTTTAGTCAGACAGACAGATTTTAAAAATTTTGTAACTTTATCAATAAAGAAACAGTTTTAGTTAGACTACATTATGTAAATTTGGATAATTAAGGCTTATCAGTACACGGAAAAAAAGAAAAAGTAAATATTACTACTTTAAAAGTAAAATTGGACCTGTCCGAAGTTTCTGCGCATCTCTGGCAACTTTTACTCCAAAAATAGTAAAATTTACTTCAGAAATAGTAAAAATTACTACGAAAACAGTAAAATTTACTACAGAAATAGTCAATTTTACTATTTTTCGAGTAAAAGTTGCCAGAGATGCGCAGAAACTTCGGACAGGTCCAATTTTACTTTTAAAGTAGTAAAAGTTACTTTATTCGTTTTTCCATTTTTCTCCGTGTAGAAAAACTAATTTTTAGTAAGATCTGGCGTTTAAAATTTAGAATATAAGTAGTAAAAAAAGTTTTAGTCAGACAGATGGTATCAAAAATTTTGTACTTTCGTTGTCAGTAGAAAACGACAGTTTTAGTCAGACTAAATTTTGGAAATTTGGATAATTTAGGTACTAGCAGGAGTAACATAATTTTTAGTAAAACCTAGTGTTTAAAATGTAGGAATAAGTAGTAAAAAATGTTTTAGTCAGACAGACGGTTTCAAAAATTTTGTACTTTCGTTGTCAGTAGAAAACGACAGTTTTAGTCAGACTAAATTTTGGAAATTTGGATAATTTAGGTACTAGCAGGAGTAACATAATTTTTAGTAAAACCTAGTGTTTAAAATGTAGGAATAAGTAGTAAAAATTGTTTTAGTCAGACAGACGGTTTCAAAAATTTTGTACTTTCGTTGTCAGTAGAAAACGACAGTTTTAGTCAGACTAAATTTTGGAAATTTGGATAATTTAGGTACTAGTAGTAGTAAAATAATTTTTAGTAAAACCTAGTGTTTAGGAATAAGTAGTAAAAAAAGTTTTAGTCAGACAGATGGTATCAAAAAGTTTGTACTTTCGTTGTCAGTAGAAAACGACAGTTTTAGTCAAACTAAATTTTGGAAATTTGGATAATTTAGGTACTAGTAGTAGTAAAATAATTATTACTAAAACCTAGTGTTTAAAATGTAGGAATAAGTAGTAAAAAAAAGTTTTAGTCAGACAGATGGTATCAAAAATGTTGTACTTTCGATGTCAGTAGAAAAGGACAGTTTTAGTCAGACTAAATATTGGAAATTTGTGCAATGTAACCACTTGCTGTAGTAAAAAGTGAGATACAAAAAAATTAAGAGTTTAAAATTTAGCTATTAGTAGTAAAAATTATTTTTATTCAGACAGGATTTTAAAAATTTGGTTAATTTTTTATCAGTGGTGAAGGATAAGTTTAATCAAACTAAACATACAAAATTCTAATAAGTTTTTGCACCGTAGTACAGGTCACTTTTAGTCAAACAAGAAGATTGAAAAATGTTTTAAATTTTCTAAATTTTGTTTTAGTAGTAAAATTAAGTTGCAATTAGACAGAATTTATGGGAATTTATTCAAAAAGCAGGAAAAGTGTTACCGTTCCGACTAATTACAAACGAGCTAATATGTTACTCAGTAGTAAAAGATGTTTTAGGTCAGACAGGAGGATTTCAAAAATTTCGTAATTTTTCATCAGTAGAATAAGATAGCTACATTTAGACTAAACTACTGTAAATTTGTTCCTCATTAAATAAATTTTAGTAAAATGTAGCTTTTTGGATTTTAAAAATCAGTAGCAAAAAACAAGTACAGTCAGACATAGATTTGTAAATTCTCATTTTTCCACAGTAGTAAAAACCAATTTTAGTCAGACTAGGTTGTTAATACAGCTAGTAGGAAAATTGACATTTTTTACATTATCAGCAGTAAAAGCCATTTTTAATAAATACTAATTTTTGCCACAGTAGTAAATGTAAATTTCAGTTAGACCATTTAATTTTCATTCATTTATTTCTAATAGTAAAAAAATTGTTGAAATTACATGAAAATTTTTTCAAATATTGTTTTTAATTTTATCAACTTATATAAATGAATAATTAACGCACTGAATAAATTTGGTGAAAGTATAATGCAAATCCTTCTGCCTGTTATTTAGTTTGGGAGAAAATAAACACTTACATTGTAGGTCGTGTAGAAGTTGGACGGCAGTAAGGATCTTAGCCCGATGTTCCGGTTGATGAATGCGAAGGTAGTCTAAATCCGCTGGCTCCAACTCCCTAAACAGCTCGAGATCCTCGTAACCATTCAGCACGAATACCGGAATATGTTCCTGTACATCCATTATGCACAACGAGTTAGTTCAATGTAGTTTGTGCTTTCTCCAAACTTCTACATATATATATATATATAAGGTTCATGCCAGGACTAAAGATCGATTCTAGAAACTTTGCAAGTAGCCACGTTGATTGTTTGCTATTTGGTTTTGTGATTAAATTTGTCTACACTCGATGCATCTATAACCTTCAGTTTCCAACTTAGCGTGTCTTTATTAATTACTTTCCTCTCTCTATTTGTCTTGAAAATATTTGAAAACTGATTTTTTTTTTAATAGTTATTAAAATAGAAAAATAAAAAAGTTAATTGCTGATTTCTCGATTGTAGTTTAAAGAGGACTTAATCGTAAATATTCAGATTCCAATCAGGGAAGAATTTTTTTATTTTTTTTTAAATAAGAGATTGATTAAAGAAGTTAGATGTCAGATTATGGAGTTTACGTGTTGCAAAAGATAGAAATCAGATTCAAGAATTCCGGTCGTGAATTTCAAAAAAGTTTTGTTATATGTTTCTTACCTGCAGATTCATTCTTTGTAAGAGCTCTTGAACGGATCCGGGTTTCTGTCTATATCTTTGGCCCCACTTTCCTCGTTCTGGTTCACCTCGCCTCAGTACTCTCTCATTCAATATCTCCACGTTTATGAACTTGAAGTGTCCTATTCTATTGTGTACAACGCCTTTCCACAAACCACTTTTGTTCATTTGCATTACATCGATAACGTCTCCTTTCTGCAAAAACAAGAAATTAATTTTCATTTTCCATCAACAAATTTCTCCAAAAAAAATTATATAAATTAATTTTTTAATAGAACGAAAAAAAAATTGTAAAATACAAACCTTAAATTTCAAAGCCTCTTTGTCATATGGACTGGGTGTATAATCGACTAGTGCCCTCGCCCTACAGAGAACGGGACCAATGGACGTTGGGCTAATGGCCTCTCTATCTTCACAGGATATCGAACTATGATTACTTCCCGCTCGTACCAAAGCTTGTGTACTTGAACCACTTCCACTTGGAAGACTTTCAACACTGCTTGCACTACAAGGGAATGCCTCTGATGATGCTCTATCCTGTCGAAGTCGTGATATCTTTTTTTGTACATCTTTTCTCAAGTACCTTGCTTGACCCGCGATTCCTGACTTGCCATCGCCATCGAGTAATGCACTTGCCTCCGACTGGAACGAGTTGATGCTCTGAATAATTAGAAAAGCAAAAAAAAAAAAAAAAAGAGAAAAAAATCACAAATATAATTTCACTTTTATCACACGTGCAAAAAAAAAGAAACATACTTTTAGATCACTAAAAAAAAATTTTATTTCAAAAATAAAAAATTTTATAATCATCAAAATAATATGTGGGAAGAAAAAATTTTTTCTGAATAATATATTTTACAAATTATTATGAAATTAAAATAAAATGTGATGTGAAGAAAATTAGAATTTTCGATTTTTTAATCATGATTTCGATTTTAATGATAAAAAATGGAAAATCATTTTTTTTTTACATTACAGAAAAATAATTATCTTATAAAAATATTATGGAAAAAAAAGGTTTAGCAGAAACAGCGAATGATTTCACTAGAATAGTAAAATAATTGTTTGAATTAAATCTTTCACTATTCTAGTGAAACCATTTTTTCAGATAAATCTTTTATTTTTCCATGGGAAATTTTTCGAGAAAAATGTGATTATTAAGGGGGAAAATTGCTAAACTTATGAAAAACTAAAAATAATTTTTTTTTTCACATTTTATAGAAAAATAATTATCAAATTTTGTAAAAATATTTTTAAAATTTTAGAAAGAAATGTGGTTATTAGAGAAAAAATTCTAAACTTATGAAAAAAAATTTTCCTATATTTTGGTAGTTGCACTAACTAATAAATAATATTAAATATAATTTTACTACAATGGGAAAAAAATAATATTGAATCATAAAAAATTATTTTCTCGTATTTGATTCAATATTTTCTTAATTCAAAAAAAAATTTCACTAATTTGAAGTAAATTTTCTATTAAGAAAATTAGTCGATCAAATACGGACAAGTAAATGATTTTCTTGAACCAATGATAGTTTTTGTTTTATTAATTGTTTTTTTATTACTTCTGTTATTAATTTTTTTTAATACTTGTGTGTTAAATAAATAATTTTATAAAATTTGATAATTATTTTCTTTCTATTTCACATTTAGTGCGTGAAAAAAAATATAGAGTACCAATATTTTGTTTTGACAAGAAAACATTTTGGTTGACATTTTTGTTACAACCAAATTTTTCTTTTGCTTAACGCAAGAAAAAATTTTTTTTCTTCAATTTTTTCAATTACAATTTTGTTAACTTAATGAAAATTTATTATCGATGCGACACTGCTCTATATATAGTGGAAAGAAGAAAAACAAAATGTGCTCCAGGTAGTCTTTCGATACCGTGCAACGATTCTTTCATTTAATTTTATCGATTAGAAATAATTAATTCCATCTTTTCCAATGAAATATCTTCGAGGGGTGGAATTTTCGAGACGATATGTATAGGAATCACTGTCAACGTTTGTGTTACAGTGTCATGTAATTTTGTTTGGGTTTTTTTTTTTTTTTTTTTTTTTTGTTTAGCAAAGAATGAATACTACAAAATTCATGCACTACTTTTGTAAAAGCCTTCGAAAAATTCAATTCACACAGCAATTTAATTATTAAAATCACCTTGTGCTTTTTTTTTTAATTCTCTAGTCAATTTTCATTATTTTTCATAAAAATAAAATTTCTCAGTGAAATAATACTAATAATAATAATTTGCATAATTAAATGCAAATTTTATTATTATTATTATGAAATAAGAAATTTTTTTGAAGAAAAAATTATTATTTTTAAATTTTAAAAAGAATTATTAAAAAATCACAGTAAAATTCAAGGTGATGATAAAATTTGCAAGGGGTCTGTATAATATTCTAAAAAAAAAATATATATTATCAGGATTTCGTTTCATGCGTAAAAAAATATATTTTTTTTTTCGTGAGGAAATCGTGCAAATTATCAGGTTAATGAGTAGGAGAGAGAAAATGCGTGAAGAATAGACAAGAGATGCAAGTATTGTTTGAATGAGGATTGTGATGACGTACTGTGTGGATGGCAGCGCAGTGTTGACTCTCTAATTCTTCTTGATCCTCGTAGTCGCTGCTTTGGCTGGGAGACAAGCCTTCCTCGCCGCTACTCCGGCTCTAAAATCGACACTCCGTAAGTCGGAGACAAATCTGACTACTTAGGAAGCGAATTGATAATAAACTTTAATGACAATATAAACGCAAATAACGATTTTTTTTTTTTTTTTTTTGTTTAATTGTCATTAAATTGGAAAATTTTATTCCCCTACTATTTAAAGAGTCGCGAGTTTTTCTTCTTTAAAAAAAAAAAAACAAAGTTGACAAATTAAAATCATTAAATTTTTGATAATTCTTTAATTATTATTTTTCAATGATTTGATTATTTATAATTTGAAAAATTATATTTTTCACTTTTTAGATTCATTTGGATATTTATTTCTTTAGCTGATATAAAAAATAAGACAAAAAAAAAATTTGGATACAGTGAAACAAAAATTTATTTGATTCAAAAATTAATATTTATTTGTATTAAATAAATTATTATTTGAGTCAATTAAATGATATTTAGTTTTTCAAAAAAAAAAAATTATTGGTTTCAAGTAAAATTTTATTTATATAATTCAAATAATTATTTTGATTCACTCTCTAAATTTAATTTAAATTTGTAGAAATTTTAAACTAATTTAAATTAGTAATTCACTTTTTCCTCTTGAATTAGTTAAATTTTACTAATTCAAAAGGAAATTGTGAGTCACTAATAAAAATTAGTTAACATTTTTATTAATTCAGTTTATAGAGCAAATAATTAATTTAATTTAAATAAAAATGATTTGTTTAATGTAAATATTTATTTGATAATAGCCAAGTAATTGATTATTTGAATCAAATAAATTTTCTTTTTCATATAAAAGTGACAAAATCGATAAAAAATAAATACATTTTTTTTTCTAAATAAAATAATTTTAAATAGAATAAAATATAAATTATGTTGAAAAATAATTTTTCGATTTATTTTTATTAATTTTGGTATAGCTAATTAATGCTTCTAAATTCAAAATGCAAAATCTTGCAAATAAAAATTGATTTGCCATTATTTTTTTTTATATATATATGGGGTGTACGAAGTGTACAGTGTGCAGTTATGAAAAACTAATGGAAAACAAAAGAAATAGGGGTGGGGGGGGTGGGTTTAACGTGCAATATAAACAATAAGGGAAGTTTAAAGATCGACTTATAAAAAAGAATAAATATATGGTTAATTTGTTATTTTACAGGGTTATTAATAATACGACAAGTAGTTTAGTAGCATTAGTCATGTTAGTAAATACATATATATTGAATAATGATGTGTTTGTGCGCGAATATTATATATATATATATATATATAGTGTTCAGTTATGTAGTTCGAGAGGGGGGAGAGTGAGTAAAAGCCCTTCTAGCTATACGCTACAATTTTAATCATTATACGGGACATTAAGCTACCCTCTAGCTATATATAGTTACACAGTTATTCACTAACTTTATAAACAGTAATAAAACTTTGACGTATAGTATATCATAACATATTTCCAAACGTTCCAACATTCTTTATTATCGAACATAAATTTTCCAGTGCGTGTTTTTCTATATTCTTTTTATTTTATAAAAAAACTGTTTTCTAATCATTTCTAAATCGTTCGTATATTTTTATTTAGTAGGTGAATTTTAATGATTTTTTTTACTGATTAATATTTATTTATTTATATGAAAATAAGTTACTTAAAAAAAAAAAATGTTAGCATATCGAGTATTATCAAATAAATATTTCATATAATTTTTCTTTGTATTAAATAAATTATATTTGAACTAATAATTTTTGTATTTGAAATAAATAGAATTTAATTGACTCATTATATATTATAAAAATAAATATTTATTTGATAATAGTAAATTTGAATCAAATTTTTGTTTTCAGTGTGTTAGTGAATTAAATGTTGCCAAATAATCATTAATAGAATAATTTTAATAAATAATAATTAGTAGTAATTTTTTTTCGAAAAAAAAATATATTGCAATGATTAAATATAATAATTGCTTGAGAGTGAATTGTAAACAAAATTCAGAGCAATCTCCTATTTCCTAGTGATGGAAGATGTTGATATTTGTTCTACTGATACTTGTGTACCGATTGGTTAGCATAGGTTTATGGAGGTTTATGCAAGCTTACATAGAGTAAGCTTGCATTCAAACAAACAGATAAACCTATCTCGAAATGAGGTTCTACTATTGACGCACAAATCTCAAACACTTCACTGCATTAATGATTTTCGATAGGAAAAATTTTTTTTTATTTTTAAATATCTTTATATTTTGTAATTTTTGCCTCCTTTTGGCAAAAATTGTTCCTTTCGTAAAAACTTACTTTTTCACGAAATTCAAAATGAAAGTGAAAATGTAAATCAAAATAAAATCTATTTTTGAGACGATGTGTGAAAATTATAAGCGATAGACGAAAGAAAAAAAATGAATTTAGATATTAATAGAACGTGCGATATTATCAGAGTGAAAAACAGAGGCATTTGTATCGTGAAAACGAGAGGCAATAAACTAGTTACACCGCACCCAACCTATATAGCATATAGCGGCTGTTAAATTGCAATCAGCGACAGAGGTTCGCGTTCAGTATATAGCCGAATCCCCCCACAATCCAGTTTGCTTAATATCTGGTTTATAAATGCTTCATATCGACAACAGCCTGAGTGACATCCAAACACTTTATCGACGAATCGTACTTTAATCAAAAACTCGGTTTGACTCGGTGATTGAAAACTGGTCATTTATTATTTGAAATACACAAGAAACAGGAATGAAAAAAAAGTTTATTATTGTTTGAATATGTAAAAGTATTTTTTCGTTAACTCTTTACATTTGTTTTTCTTTTAAATAAATCAGAATTTTTTTTAGTAAATTTAAATTTTTTTTTCTTGTTTGCATATTTCCACTTTTATGCTTTTTTTTGTTTTAACTATTTTTTTTACACATTTTGTTGTCATTATTTTTTATCTAATAAATTTATTTTTTGTAAATTTATTTAATTACCATCTCTTTAATTAATTAATACAGTATTATTTTGATTTTATTTAATAAGTAAATATTTCTTTTACTAATTCAAATTGTAATAATCCAGAAATAATTATTTTCCACACTGAAAAAAAATATCTCATTTTTTATCAAAACTCACCTCTTTATATTCATTTTTCAATGGTTTTTATTTGCAATTTTTCCAATTTTCCGGGGAAAATACTTGGGATCAATCGTCTCTTGAATTCAATCGAATACGATCTACTTTCAATCAGAGAGAAAGAGAGAGAGAGAAAGTCCATTCTTATATTTAGAGCGAGTAAATGAAAATAGCGTTTGTGAAAAAAAATCTCTCAACCCAGGGGTTAATTAAGAAAACAATGGATGTCTATATTAGATTTAAAAAATCCAATATCTTCACTAATTAAAAAAATGGGAAAAAAAAAAAAAAAATTGGTACTGACCTGTACGTCACTGCTTGCGTAATCTCCACTTTCTCTGGAAGCTCTTGTGAGAGGAATGATTGCCGGTGGATTGTTGAGACCCTGTGATACGATAAGACCCCTCATAGTTGATGAAGCTAATGCTTTTCGAGAACGATCACCGGATTTTCGAGAGCGATCTCTTGGTAGACTGATGTCACCGGCTGTTGGAAGTGAAATCACTCTCTCACCTCGATTTTCCGGTCTTAAGTTTAATGTGAACCATACTCTGAAATAATACACACATATATATATATATAAACCTTAATTAGAATATTCGAGGTCACACAGTTTGATACATTTTACTCATTGGCTAATGAACTTAGAAGAGAGAATTCCCTGCGTCGGGATCAAAGTCCCTTTTGAGAGTTTAATTGAAGTATGTTAACCAAGGGTTGGTAAACAGATTTTAGGGTATTTCTATATGTACGCAAAAAGAGCCACAAGGAGATTAGTTTTCGAACGTTAGAGAATAACATTTGATTATAATTAAATTGACAAAAAAGAGGATTTTTGTTTATTAATTAGAATATTAATTATTATTAATTAAATTAATTATTAATTATAATTAATTAAATTAATTATTAATTATTAATTAAATGTATTATAAAAAATAATTAATTAAATATAATTAATTACAATTAAATTTTAATTTAATGCAATATTAAAAATTTTTTTAATCTTCTCAGAAAAATTAAAAATTCTCAATGGGATTTTTTTTTTTTGTATTCCAATTAAATTAAATTAAAAATGAAAAGATTATTCTGCAATGAAATTATTTTCCGCGGTTATGTATTTTTTTTGCTTTCTTACTTTCCGTTTTGAATGGTCGTTGTTGGTACTGGACCACCGCTTGCTCCCATAAGAAAATCTTCAGGGTCTGACTCGTAAGGTGGTTCGTCGTACCAATGTTGACCACCTGGTCCAGGGCCGAGACCTCCTGCTATCCCACACCTTGCATCATCATCGTACATGTATGTGTCATCTAAAATTTTGAAGAAATTTTTAAACATTTTAAAATTGACATTATTATTATTATTATAGACAAAATTAATAAAAATTATTACTATATTAATTAATTATAATTATTCATTATATTAATTAATTACTATATTAATAATTATATTATTCAAAATTAATATGATACATTATTCAATATTAATATATACAATAAAAATTGCATTATTAAAATGTTAATATGTAAATTATATTCTCATAAGATAATAATATAATTCTAATATAGAAGCACTTTTTGCATATAGATAGATATAATATATATTCAGTGACCTCGTATAACCTGTGAAAGGAACAACTTAATAAGGATCAAAAGGATAAAGTTGGGAATGTGTAAAGTGAAAAAGAAATCACTCTGAGAATTAGCAAGTGTCGCGTGTAATTCCAAAGCAGAAACTTGAAGGGTGCCCATAGTATATAAGGGTATACAAAAGGATGGTATCCGATAGGGAATTAAGAATATAAGCGCGTGGGTCATAATCTCACGAGAAATCATCAGGTTTCACAAAAGTGCTTGGCAGAATATAATGTGATAAAAAAAAAAGAAAGAAAAAGTACTGGGAAAATTGATAATAATATTTGCAAGTTCAATTACAGCTTATTTTTCTGTTTTTAGATATTTTTTTTTAAAAATCGTATAATTAATTTTAATTAATCGTTTTTATTTTTTTTTATTAAATATATAAATTTATTTAAAGGAAATAAATATTTACTTTATTCATATAATAATTATTTAATACATCTAATTTAATTTTTAATTATTAATTTGATAATAATCAAGTATCCAATTATTTCAATGAAATAAATTATTTTTGCACTTAAATTATTAATTAATTAGTAAAAAATTAATTTCTTCAAAATATGATTATTATATGACTAAAAAAATAGTAATTTCAAAACGAATTAAAACGTTATATGGAAAAAGTTAGATTGCTTGAAAATTGAAAGTTTCTAACTTCTAAAAGAGAATAATTATCTCCTTTAAACTTTTTTAAAATAAATATAATGTAATATTAGGAGTTTAATGTTTCATTTTCCGTTAAAAGTTATTAATATACTTATTCCCGCGTATAGATTAAAGAATAGAATAAAAATTCCCAAGAAATATTATTCATTAGATATAATAGAATATAATAATTAGCATATCAATCAGATATTTTTTATATAATTAATTATGTCTGAATAATTAATTAATTACAATCTAGTTAATTATAATTTTCTAAAATAAATTAATTAAATATTATACTGAAAAAAAAATTTATTTGTAAATATTCGATTACTTAATTTTTATTAAATAAATATTTTCTTAAATCAAATAATTTTTATTTGAATTAAATAAACTCACAGAAAATTAAAAGGCATTAAAATAAGCTTATTATTTTAATCCAATTTTGCTTTTTTTTTAATCCATTTTGGTATTAAAATAAGCAAAGTTGGATTAAAATAATAAGCGTTGCAGCTTATTTTAATGCTTTTTAATTTTCTGTGCTGTATTTGAACCAATTATTTTTAAACAAATACCATTTACACGGAATAAATATCTTTATCTGAAACAGCAATATGTTTCTTTAGAATAGTTAAAACTTTAGCTGTTTCAGTGAAATATTTTTTTCCGTGATACTTAACTCAAATATAATAATTAGATAAATATTTATTTGATAATAGTAACACAGAAAATTATAAGGTATTAAAATAAGCTTATTATTTTAATCCAATTTTGCTTATTTTAATACCAAAATGGATTAAAATAAGTAAAATTGGATTAAAATAATAAGCGTTGCAGCTTATTTTAATGCCTTTTAATTTTCTGTGAAAGTAAACCGATTATTTGAATAAAATAAATTTCTTTCTCAGTGGATTATTAGTAATTAATAAATTATCGCTTAATTAATAAATTAATTTTATTAATTAAATTATTTAATTAATAAATTTTATTATAGCTATTTCTTGGTTGGTTTTCAACGTTCTTATTTAATCGGATGGAGTACTCGCGTGGGTAATTCAAAATTCTTGGCACGAGTGTAATAGAAAGACCGATGAATAGAAAGAAGGGTATATATATATATGTGTATAGGGTTGAAGGTTGAACACGAACAAGACCGGGGCAGGCGTAGGTCGTACGCATCCTTGTGTATATAAGTATAGTTACGTGTGTTAGATCGTCTGATTTCTAAAGGATAGGTTTCCTTATATATACGAGAGAAAAGTGAGAGGAATGGGAGGGACGACGAGAAAGGGAGAGTGGAAAAAAGACGAGGCATGACGCGACGGGTGTTTACGATAACGAGATTAACAGCACACACGAGGGGCTTCCGTTCATCGTCTATTTTCGCCAATGCTGCACCTCGAGGTTGACACCTCGAAAATGATCTCTCTCTTTTTTTCCCCAGATAAACTGTCAATAATACATCTGAACAGCTTCCCATTTTTTTTGCCAAGCGAAACTAATCATTTATAAATTAATATTCTATTACGAAAAATTTCACCTTTCACAGCGATATATTTCATTAAAACAACGAAAATTTTCCTTATTTCAGAGAAATATATCGCTGTTTCAGATAAAATTTTTTTTTTTTCTGTGATAATAATATTTAATAAATAATAAAATTGATTAAATTCGGAAAAAAATTGGAATAATTTAAATATTTGGAAAAAAGGAGAGAAAAACTATTATACTGTTGATAATAGTAAAGGATCAAGAGGTGTCATTTGAGAGTAGATCGCTTTGTTTGTTGGCACGTATTCGAGTTGTTTGACGTTGTAGAAGGATTTGTTGAGTTGGAAGATGAACCGCACAAACATTCTAGTATACAGGAAACAAACTAAACTGAGGTCAACGAAGTACTTTAGTAAATATTCATGTACTAACCACCAGGAAGCTGACCTCTACCGTCTCGACCCAACTGCATTAATCCCTGCCGGATGTCCCTCAAAATCTGCAAAAAAAACAAGATTTCATTTTTAATTTCAATTTTTTTTTTTTATAAATCTCTTTTGAGTAAAATTATTTTTTTTTTTTACTAGAGCACTGAAATGAGTTTCTTTAAAATAAAAGAAGAAATTAAAAAAAAAATAATAATAATAATGGTTTCTTTTTCTCTCAATTGTTCCGATTGGCTCTTCTCTAGTGAATGCACTTCAATTCCTTGCGGTGCCCAATTACGAGAAATGTTACCGGCAAGTGATTGATTTTAAAAAGCTCATTTCCTCTTTGTTCATTTTTGAAAAAAAAAAAATTGAGAATAATTGGATGGTGGAATGTAAACACATTTTTTTAATCATAAGATCTAAAAGTGATTTTTGTATATCGTGTGACTACTTTTGCTACTAGGAATATAAAAAATACGTTCTCTTTCAGGAAGTTAAAAAAAAAAAAAATTAGAATCCTTTTGTCTGACTTAAATTTCTGTTTACTACTGAAAACGAAATTACCAAGTATATTGGGGAAAATTTAGTCTGACTAAAATCGAATTTTACTACTGATGATAGAAAAATTATAATTGTCTGATTGGAATTTAGTTGGAAAATCGCGGAAAATTTTATATACTGTCTGACTAAAGCTGTCTTTAACTACTGATTCTTTTATGAGAATTCGAACTTTTTTTTGAATTAGCATTTGACAGAACTTCTTTTTATACAAATTTTGATTTAAAAAAAAATTTGAGTTACCGAATTTTTTGTTTGTCAGAATTTTTATTTTATAGCCATTTAATTTATATGATTTTTTATTTAAGAGAATTTTAATATTAAACAGTATTCTTTTTCAATCAAATTTTATGTGTATTTGAATTTTTAAATGACAAAAATTCCAATTCACCGAATTTTCATTTGTTCGGTCATATTTGTAATTTCGGACTAATGAAAATTCGGTGTCTTAAAAATTTATAAAAATAAAAATTCGGAGAAATAAAAATTCGGTTAATTGCAAATTATTGTCATTTAAAAATTCGAATCGCATAAATTTCAATTGAATGAAAATTCTGTTACACTATAAAATTTGCTTAAATTAAAATTCACTTACTCTCTAAATCTGAATTAGTAAAAATGTTTACTAATTTGAATTAGTGACTCACATTTTGCTTCTCAATTAGTAAAATTCTACTAATTATTAGTAACTTTTACTAGCAATTAGTAAAATTTTACTAATTCAGAAGTAAAAAGTGAGTCACTAATTCAAATTAGTAAACATTTTTACTAATTCAGATTTAGAGAGTAAATAAAAAGTCATGTAAAATTAATTACTGTAAAATAAAAAATTCTAATAAACAAAAATTCGATAGCTAAAAATTTTGTTATATGTATAAAAATTCCTATAATTGGCAAAATTGTTTGAAAATTGAAGATTCATAAAAAAAAATTTTTTTCTAATAAAGTACTTTAAAATAAAAAAAATAAATGATTTTTATGAGAAATTTATGAGCTCGATAAAAATATAAAAAAAAAAAATAATTAAATTAAAATATTAGGAAATAATATGTAACATATATAGTGAGTAACTGAAAGTTCTATATTTATAGGACTTTTTTTACGCTTGACGTTCTATAAGAATATTTGAAGTTGCTTTCCAATCATGGTTGAGGTCCAACTTTTTTAATCGAAAAACTGTCGAAGAATTTCGTTTTACTCGCGTACAGTAAAAGCACTATATATGAAAAATACTTATCATATTCGATCGTTTGAAAAGGAAATGAAAAAAAGAAGAAGAAAAAGAAGAAGAAGAAGAAAAAAGTATACCGCTCCGTTGGGCATATGGATGTTTTTCCACGACTGCGACATACCTTTTTAGGGTGATTTTTATAAAGGTGCATTGCCAGAAGCGAGGGGAATAAGCAAGAAAATGCGATGCACGTTACGATGCTTTCAAAGAGAGTTTGGAAAAGCGAATCGATTATCGAAACTTTACCAAGCGATGGCTCGAGAAATGATTTTGTATATAAAAAGGAACGTGGAAAAGATAACATTAAGTATATAAGGTATGGAGAAGCAAGGAAAGAGAGAGAAAAAGAGAGAGAGAGAGAGAGTGACACGATTGAGAAGGATTTTCCGATGGTTTCGTTGGAAAGAAAAGAAGAAAATCGCATTCACTGTAGACACAGGAGGGAAAAAAAGAAGAAAAAAAAATGTCAAGACTCGAGGGAAACGTAAACTCTACGACGAAGGTGACAATAAAACTTTTATAACCATTGCGACCTTTATTTCCATATTGCTCGCTACTGGAAAGGTAACATTTTTTCTCCCCCCCCAGCTTTCAGTAGTTTCAACCAATTTCGTTGGTCTTGTTCACTGTCTGTCGACAAAAAAAAAAAAAAAAACCCTGAAATGGGTCGTTGTCTGATTAATTTTACACTAAAAAAAAAAAAAAAAAAATTCTTTGTCTTTTATTTACACGAGCGTTTCGTAATTCTATATGTATATAGTTGAAAGTAATTCACGCTTTTTATGATGTCTTTTAAATTAAATACCATGATAAATGAAAGAAAGAGAATTTTTTTTCAAACAAAAAGTAAGTGAAAGAAAATTTTTTTTAAAAAAGAATTTTATTTTTTAAACATAACTGAAATTTATTTTTTTTGGCAAAAAAGAATTTTCATTATTTAATCAGAAAACTAAGTGAAACATTTTATTTTTTTTCGGCAAGAAAGGATTTTCTTTTTCATATAAAAGAAGAAGGGGAACAATTTTTTTTTTTTTTGAAGAAAATTTGAAAAAAAAAATTATTTTCTGAAATTTTGATTGATTATTTGTAATTTTAATCGAGGGAGATGATATGTTTATTATTTATGAGATAGGAAATTATGTTGCTTTTAGTTATATGCTGTATTGAATGGAAAAGTTTCCGGAAAGAATAAGTGTATAGGTAAAGGGACCAGACGTGTGGATTTTCACTTCTTGTGTGTCGTTTGTGAGTTCACTGACAAACTTTGCTTTCCCTCGTGTAGAAAACCCTCACAGATAATCCTGGATGATCTCTTGCCGTCCATGTTGTTTCCTTTAAGCTGTGAGACTGGACTCTTTTGCCCCTTACATTTATATATATATATATACCTATATATACAGCTAAAATGTCCTAAAGAACTTTTCGTTTTATTCGACTTTTCTCTCGCAAAAAAGGTCTCTTTTTAGTACACATGCTTCTCTCTCTCTCTCTTTAACGGAGGTCTCTAACTTTTGAGCCCGCCAGCCGCGAAAGTTGCTTTTGCTTTTAACCCTTCTAAAAATTATTACTGTGAGCGAGCCTTTTTATTGAATAATAAAAAATAAGTATTCAAGCGTGGAATGTGAAACCATGAATTTCAAATTGACGAGAAAAAAAGTTCCTAAAACATTTTTAATAAAGATGATTTTAAGTTAAAAAAATTGTTCACATTTAATTTGTCTATATTGGCATGAGATGAAAGGAATATATGTTTTTTTTTTGTTTTACTTTTTAGAAGAATTAAAAAAAAAAGCATAAACAGATTATATATGAAAATTGGCTGACTAAAATTGTCATTAACTACTGATTTTAAAATTGGAAAATTTGACATTTTTACTATTTATATAAAAGTACCTATAATAATAAAGAAAAAAATAATAGAAATTTGAACAAGTTTTGTCTGACGTAAAATGTATTTTTCTACTAATATAAAAAAACAATGCTTTCTTCTTTTGTAAATATGCGAATATTATTATTTTTTTTTTTACCTTTACTTTGCGATTCTTCTTTTGTAATCATATTTTTATATACTCTCTAAATCTGATTTAGTAAAAGTTTGAATATGAATTAGTGACTTACTTTTTTTGAATTAGTAAAATTTAACTAATTAATAGTAAACAAAAATTGTTTACTATCGAATTATGAAAATTTAACAAATTCAAAAGCAAAAATTGAGTCACTAATACAAATTAGTATAAATTTTTACTATTTTTTTTTTTGTAGTAAAATATTGCTATTTCATTTGGTAATATTATTTTTTTTTACTAAAGTTTTAGTGGAAAATAACTAAAAATTAGCAGAATGTAATCACTCTCTAAATCTAAATTAGTAAAAATATTTACTAATTTGAATTAGTGACTCACTTTTTGCTTCTGAAGTAGTTAAATTTTACTAATTGTTAGTAAAAGTTACTAATAATTAGTAAAATTTTACTAATTCAGAAGCAAAAAGTGAATTTTTTTAGTAAAAGTTACTAATAATTAGTAAAATTTTACTAATTCAGAAGCAAAAAGTGAGTCACTATTTCATATTAGTAAACATTTTTACTAATTCAGATTTAGAGAGCATATTTTTGTATAATTTCTAAATTTAATTTTAGTATGAGAAACATTTTTTTTTAGTAAAATATTACTATTTGATTTGGTAATATTATTTTTTTTTTACTAAAGTGTTAGTGAAAAATAACTAAAACTTAGTAGAAATTTTTACTAACTTTTTTTTAAGTAAAATATTACTATTTGATTTAATAATATTTTTCTACTAAAGTTTCTGTTGAAAAATAACTAAAAATTAGTAGAAAGTTTTACTAATTTTTTTTAGTAAAATATTACTATTCGATTTAGTAATATTATTTAAACTTTTTTTTTACTAAAGTTTTAGTGAAAAATAATTAAAAATTGCTAGAAATAATAAATTATAATAATAATCAATAAATAATATAAAAGAAAAAAAATTTATATTTGGAGCATCGTTAATGAATAAAACGAGAGATAAGATGATTCACAATAATCATAAATTGAATAAAATAATTGAAACGTTATCTGCCTAAAGAGATGAAATCGTAGAAGGATATAACAAAGTCATGAGAAAAGGCGAAAAGTATACAGTCCCATATCTCGCGATTAATATATATATACATAAAATTCACGACACATCGTGGCTGGTATACGCATTGATGATTATGATGATATCACCTCTACTCGATCTGGCCTGTTTTGCATAATAAGAAGCAAGGGCACGCATGCAAATTCTCCATACTGATAAGACTCGCAAAGATGAAACCAAATGAAAGGATCTATATATATATATATATAAAGTTGGTACTTTGTTACGATCAGATTTGAAACGATACCCGCACATTTATCCCCGAATTGTATGCCGAGAATATAAGTCTACACATATACCTATACTTCGTTTTCTGAAACACGCTGTTAATCGCTCCTGCCACAGGCACGATGGATAACACGATTGCACGTAACTTACAATTCCTCCAATTCACAGCAACATTTTGATCCATCTTATTTAAACCTGGCACTAAGGAAATGGATTTGCTTATGTAGATTATAAAAAAAAAAAAAAAAATGTTTCTCAAGAATTTCAAGATTTTGCCCATTTAATGACGTTTATATATTTTTATACAAGTGAATTTAATCTACAATTTTTCATATAGTTTAAATCCAAATAAAATTCCACTAAAAGAATTAATTAGCTACAGATGTTAACGAAAGTTAGCTGAAAAAATTTACTAGAGAAATCATAGACAAAAATTTTTTTGAAATTATCGTTTAATTTTTTTGGTGTAAGTAGTAAAAGTCAATTTCAGTCAGACTCAAAATTTAATGAATTCTTCTAATTTCAGATTGTAAAAGGCATTTTTAGTAGAAAAAAAATTTGAATTTTTGCTTATTTTCTTTTTTTTGAAAGCAAACAATCTGCCTGATAAAAGTAGATTTAAAGCATATAGATAAAAATAATACATTCGACTAAAAACGAGGGTTGATTTTTCTTCGAATGCATTTTTCACATTTCAATCTCCCGCAGTATGGAATTATTATTTCATACATTTATGTATATAAAATTTTTCCCGCAAAAATAAATATTACGCGAGGCACAAATAATAAAAAAAAAAAAATTGCTTATTAGTAAATATTTATTTTAAGCAAATTTAAAATTTCTTTTCTTGAGAAAAATAATTTTCTTTTATTTATTATATTTATAATATTTATAAATATTTATTTATAAAAAAGAAAAAAGATAACAATTGCTATATGAGGAATTTTTCTAGTAAAATCAAGATGATGTGTATACAGTGTATGATTCAAGTTGGATTATTAGTGAAACGAAAGCTTTGTAGACGAGGTGTAGTACAATGCTAATTGCAAACACACCAGTAGAATTATGTGCTAATGAAGTGTTTGCACTGTCAGTTATCGAAGCATAGGTCTGTGCACTTGTACATATACTATATATATATATATATATATACACTGTGTTTCAAGCCCTTAGCTCACAATGCAAAGAGATTGAAACCGGTTTTCATCTCGTTTTAAATTGAAATATGCAATGTGCAAATGCACATACAAGTAATTTTACTTTTTAATATCTTACTATCAATTTTAAATTTCCTCATACAACCACGCCTCTCAAAAGAATCTCATTTCACTCTTTTTTTTTTTATTTTTTTCCCCCTCGAGAGACGATCTTCAATTATGTATATTAAAATTCACTTTTTAAAGAATCACATTAATATTTTTCAATGTACTTATTTCATTTTAGTCGTATTTTTAATATTTATTTTGAATTTCTTTCTTTTCTAAGAAACCTTTTACATTTTTGATGATATAGAAAAAGTGAGTAATTTTTCAAAAGGGAAAAAAAAAAAAAATTTATAACTCTTGTGCAAAAAAAGAAAAATGAATATGTCTCTAGGGTGATTTTATAAAATTTTATCGAAAAAATTACGACATTTTCGTAAATGCAGTTTTCTTTTCTTTTTTTTTTTTGCAAATTTTTTTGTTTCCATGTAAATTCTCGTAAAATAAGAAATAAGACAAACGATTAACTTACGTCTTCGTGCTCTTTATGAAATCTCTCCTTTTGCTTCAATGCCTCTTGAACTTTCAGCTGGAACATAAAAAAACCGTATATTTATAAATTTGAATATTTGACGATGGCGTTTATTTTCGTTAAAAGAATAATTTTCATACAAAATACTTGTCGTTTTTCCAGATAGTAAAATAATTTTTTCAAAATATTCTGGAAAAATATCCTAAATTATTATTATTATTATTATTATTAAATAATAATTTTTATTTATTAAATTAAAAAAATTCCAAACTTATTAAAACTACCGTTTTAAAAATTAAAATTATTTTCAAAAAATTGTTTAATTAAAAATTAAATTGCCTTGTTGGCAAAAGAAAAAGTGATTAAATTTTGATTTTACTATAAAAATGATGCAAAAAGAAAAAAAAAAAAAAAAAAAACTCTGTACGACAGAAAAACATGAATTAAGTCAATCATGAACGCCCAAGGACCACTTAATTTACCGACGAGAGCTAAAAGAGTGAGTTCAATTTATCATCCAGCTTATCATGCTGTAAAACTTCCCCCTAGTTTAAGTGAGGGTAAAGCATCAGAAAAGAAGCAGAATACAGAAACGAATATTATTAAGGTTATTGTGAAGTCAAGAGCAGGAGAATATTAATGATAATTGTGAAGAAGTAGAAGAAATATAGCCAAATTAACTTTGCATGAATGAACACTCTTCGGTGTACTTATATATATATATATATACATATAGCTTACAAAATCCATGTATTTTTAACGGAAAAGAAAAAAAATCTCATTAAGTGTAAAAATATTTTTAGAACAATTTTCAATTTATTGAAAATATTTAAAAAAATTTTTTAAATTAAATTTAAATTAAAAATTTTCAAAATTAAATTTATTATTAATTTTTGAATTAAATTTATAAATAAAAATTCGAATTGAATTTTTTAAATAATTTTCGAATTTTTATAAATAAATTTCCGAATTAAAATCGAAACAACATTGAACAATTTTTAAATTACATTTATAAATAATTTTCATATAAATAAAAATTAGAATTTTTCAAATTAATTTTCGAATACGTGTGTTGAATGTTGATATCAATGCGTGAACGTACCCTTTGGATGGTTTCTTCGAAGGTATTGGACTGTCCTCCATTCATCTGGAAATACCTCAGTCTATCGTAATCTCTGGGGTCCACCATAGAACGCAAAATCGTATGACCCATGTCTGGTCCGAGGCCCAGTCCACTTTGTAAAACACTGTCGGGCGTGTCCACCTATAGATAAAAGAAAAGAGAAAAAGAAACCAATATCAGAAAAATGCCACATTTTTTTTTCAATTTTCTATCACAAAATGAAAGAAATTTTTTTTTTTCTTTACATGAAAATTTTCTTTCTTCAAAGAATTAAATTTAAAATTAAATTAAAATAATAACTAAAATATAAATATAATATTTACAATAATTTTTCTAGTATAATATACATATTAATATAAATGTAATAATAAATAAGTTTTCATGTTTGTTTTCTTTTTTCCACAATTTGTAAAATTCGTGATGAATTTTCAAAAAAACAAATTTGTGATTCGTCTCTCGTATATTTTCTCACAAATTTTCTAAGTGTCCGCAGTTCTTACACTTACTGAGTGTAAATTTTGTTGAAATACTTCACGGACTTCATCTAAAAGTTAAGTGGAAAATACTCAAAATTCCGTCTTAATTATTCGGCAGCCAACGTCATTAAAGGTTACGAACCTGCTTCGCATGCCGACTATTATAATGCGTCCTTTCTGCGCACGATGCATTTACAGTAGAAAAAAAAAATTTATCAACAAATTGTTGAAAAAAAAAAAAATTATTATTTTTGAGACGAATTTTAATTTTTCCGAATTTTTATGAAGCCAAATTTTTATTTGTCCGAAATTACAAATGTCCGAACAAAAAATCGACAGAAAAATTTCGTTGCAATTATTAAAATTGATCAATTAGAAATTATCAAAAAAAATTCTAATTGGTCAATTTTGAAATTAGCGCCGAAATCGATCATTTGTAATTTCGGACAAATTAAATATTAAATTCGTTTTTTTTTGAATATATTATATATTTGAATTATATTTTTGAATAAGATAAAAAAATTATTAATAAAAAATATTGAATTTATCAAAAATAAAAAATTTCAAAACGCGATTTTCGATTTGAATAAATTTTTTAAACTTAATTGATTGTCAACCACTATTTTGTATATTGTGAAATTGAAACCACAGTATAAATGAAGAGTATAGTTCAATTTTCAAGAAACAATTAGTTTCCGTTATATATGTATTGAATTCTGTATCTTTTTTTTGGAACTTGAGATTTTTTTTTTTATTTTGTTGAAATTATACTCATATTAAAAATATATACGACAGCATAATTAAATATACAAAAAGGATGATATAATAAACATAAAATTATTTAATTGCTATTTACTTGGAGAATATTAGAATTTTCGTCAAAATTTGAAGAGAGATTTATTTCAATGTCAACTGTTAGTACATCAAAGTAAAAGAAGTCGAAAGCCGCGTATTGCGACCAGATTTAATTAAAACGACTCAGTGTTTATGTTAAACGGATTAAATCCCGTTTATTTGCATTCACAGTTTTAGTTAGAGGGAGAGAGATAGAGAGAGAGAGAAAGGGTGCGTACAAGACAGTGGGTTATAAGCTTGAATAATTTCGAGAACTTGGAAAGAGAGAGAGAGAGAGAGACAAGAGAGAAAAGAGATTGAAAATTCATATTCAGAATTTACTGGACTCGTTGACTTTTTCACGAGAAAGAAAAAAGAGGGAGGAGAAGAAAAAGAAGAAGATAAAGTAAAAGAACTAGAGAGCAAGCAATGGGTCGACGAACGATGAGCAGAGGCGTTTCTTCAAGGGTGCGTTACAGAGACAAAGGGACGAATGAATCATTAGTGGGCTTCTATTGTGTTTCGTTTGACGTGTGAAAATCCTAGGCCTCGGCGGTAATTGACAGAGTATGAGTGCCCTCGTCAGCGTCTTTGTATATATATATATTCACAAACTAAATGTCATTATTTTCCAGAATTGTTTCAATTGTCACATGTATATATAGACATTAACAGCTCAAGAATACAAATGACTTTTTTCAAACTGTCAAATACGACAATAAAAATTAACTCGACATATTTTTATTTTATTTAATTCGAACAATTAAAGTTAAAAATATAATTTAATATTAAAAATATTAAAAATAATAATTATTTAATAATTTAATAAATTAAATAATAATATTTATTAATAGTAAATAATTAATAAAATTTAATAATTATTATATTATATTATATTATAATATAATACAACCCCACAATGGAAAAATATATCACGTATTTACATGTCACTCACGTATGTTTTTTCCCTTGTAGGGCAGAATATTGACAATATTATTAAAGTTTTTTTTTATCAGAAAAAAATGCTAATAAGATTCTTTGAATTTTTATGTCAGTGAAAAAGGAAAATTAATGAGATATTTTTTTTTTCAAATTTTGGAAAATTTTACTACAGTAGTGATAAACATGTTTATTAAGACATAAGTTTTAAATTTTTATAGTGACAGTAGTAAAAGGCAGTTATAGTCAGACGAAGTTTTATGGAAATTTTTCTCATTGTAGAACCAGTGATAAGCAAAGATTCTATAAAAAGAAAATTCGTGAAAACTTTTATCGGTACACTGAGAAAATTTTTTTTTTTTTACTTGTTCCAAATACTCGGTTACTTATGACTATTATCAAATGTATTAGATCCAAATTATTTTTATTTGAATTAAATATAAAAATTAATTGATTGTATTTGGAATCAAATAATTTTTATTTTGAATTAAATATAAAAATTAATTAAATGTATTTGAATTAATAATTTTTGTATTTGAAATAAATATCATTTAATTGACTTAAATAATTAATTATTTAATACAAAAAAAAATTTTTTTTTCAGTGTATTAGAAATAAATATTTGTAATTTTTGTTTTTCAGTATTGAGTGTAATTTTTGGTCAGACAGAATGGTTTAAATAAGTAGTAAAGGTCATAGTCAATAAAAAAAGGTTCAAAATATGATTATTATTTTGATATCAGTAGTAAAAATAAATTTTAGTCAGACGGAACGTTTTTTTTAACTTTGAAAGTAGTAGCCAAAAAAAATGTTTAGTTAAGTAGTAGATGACACTGAAGTTACCAACGTTGAATCGACGAAAAGAATTTTTTTTTTCCTAAGATTGAATATTTCCTTGCCTTGGTTGAGGATTGTTAGTGTTTAAGGATGTATTTGAGACTAAAATAAAGAAGTTTCATTAAAAAAAAAAAAAAATTGGTTCTTGGCCTTTAAACTAATCTGAAAACGAAAAATTCGTTCTTTGATTCGTCGAATCAACGTTGGTAACTTCAGAGTCATAGTAATAGAATAATTTAATATAATAGTAAAGTTTAATTTAAAAAATCAGTGGACAAAGTTAGTTTTAAAATAAAGTGGTTTAAATTTCATTAATGTTAGCACACGGAGAAAAATGGAAAAACGAATAAAGTAACTTTTACTACTTTAAAAGTAAAATTGGACCTGTCCGAAGTTTCTGCGCATCTCTGGCAACTTTTACTCGAAAAATAGTAAAATTGACTATTTCTGTAGTAAATTTTACTGTTTTCGTATTAATTTTTACTATTTCTGAAGTAAATTTTACTATTTTTGGAGTAAAAGTTGCCAGAGATGCGCAGAAACTTCGGACAGGTCCAATTTTACTTTTAAAGTAGTAAAAGTTACTTTTTCTTTTTTTCCGTGCATCAGTAGTAAAAGTATGTTTTAGTCAGACAAAACGGTTCAAATTTTTAAGACTATTCATTCGACATTTCGATTACTTTGATGATTCCTTTTATATATTTATATATTTATATATTATTATTATTATTTTTATTATTTTATTATTATCATTACTATTGTTATTAAATATTATGTTAAATTAATGTTACAATATTTTTTTAATATCAAATTCGTATTTTTTATTTATTTTCTTTCTTAAAAAAAGGGAGTTAAATTTACGGAATTTTATAAAATTCTCACCCTTTTTGGAGTTGATTTTTAACTCCCAACTCCGATTGTAACGAAACTTTTTACACTTTTAGTTATCTAATGAAATGTTTAATAATTTTTCTTTATAATTGTTTCCCTTTAAATATATATATCGATGAGAGAAAAATTGGATTTAGATATTGGTACTATCTTTATTTGGTCACGGAAGCAATCGAAGATATAGGAAACGTTTTTCGCGTTAAGAGTCGAACGTTGGGCGAAATCAGTAATAGTAGTGGTGGTGGTGGTAGTAGTCGTCGTTACGTAAATCACAATAAAACAGCCCAGACTGTTGGTTGAGAGCGGAAGTATAAGAGTGTGGATTTTGCAGGGGTTGAAAATTCTGCTACCAAAAAGGGATAGTATTAGCGAGAGAAAGAAGGCGGAGGAGAACATTTATTTTTAAAGTTAAGCAGCTAACTGGCCACCTGGGGCGATTTTTTTTCCTAACCAGAATCGTTTTATCGCAGCTTTTATATTCTCTGTCTCACTCTCTTTAAGAGACGCCTACTGGTCAATTTATCCCTGGAATTCTTACAGGTCCATACATCCTAGAAAAGATAATTCAGTAGAGAAAGAGAGAGAGAGAGAGAGAGAGAGAGAGAGAGAGAGAGAGAGAGAGAGAGAGAGAGAGAACTGTGCGACAAAGGCAATTAACAATCGTGATTATCCTCTGGAGCTCGTAATCAGACATCTAACTCAAGTCAAGATCGAATCTTATACACGCTTGGACTTGGAATGTATCGACCGTTTCGCTTGAGACTATTTCTCTCTTTCTCTTTCTCTCTCTCTATATATATATATATACAGAGCAAAACGGTAAATAGGATTCTTTTGCGAGAGGAACTAAACGATTTTGCGTAGTTTTATTATAAAGAGAAAACCTCATCGTTCAACCAACGAGATCTTGCCATTGATCTAAACTCGACCCTATACTATGGTTTCCGCCCTCATATATAAATATGTTGGTATATTAACGATTCACAGAAGCACGATTCCAATTCCCCCCCCCCAATTTTTCCACGTTGCCTTTTTTTTCAATGAAATCTCTGATTCTATTTATACAATAAAAACCATGAGAAATTATTTCATATATGTAAAATTTCAGAATAGAAAATTAGTCTTCAAAACGAAAGACACGAGACGAGAATATTATAATACATC